TTACGGCCAGTTGTTGAAAATTGTAGTTTATGAAGTTTAAGCCCCGATCATTCCTGTTCCCCTCGAACCTCTTTTCCATGAGACCAACAGCCTGGGCTTGTACAGTCTTCAAAGGTCTGTGGCACACACCCCCACGGCTCAATGTTCCATCCAAAAAAATGAGACAAGTCTATAGGGGGGATCATAAGGTGAGGGAGAAATGGACACTTAGAATCATAACCATTTGGGATCAAAAGAGCAGCATGTACCCAAGGACAAAGTTCAGAGCGTTTTCTAGGAGGGAAGTGGAAAACAGGAAACCCCAGTGGGAAGTGGGTTAAGACTGTTTCCTTGTTGGGATTGCAGTCAAATGTGCATGAAACAAAATGTGTATGAATTATGGGATGGAAAACTGATGTGCTCCAAAAGTATTTTTTAAACGGCAAAATCTCTGCCACACAGATTTTTCCCTGTGTGAAAACAATGTCCTTTTTCGCAGGAGGGAATTTCCCTCGATGCTGCAGACAATTTGCACTCCGAGACTAAAGCTGGCAGCTTGAACCCACGCAGAGGCTTAACGGTAAGCCAAGTAGTGGCCCGGCCCTGCCCAGGTGCTCTTGAACTTTAAGGGATACCAAGCCATCAGGGTTCTGGGTGAGTGGACAATTATCGTTGGAGGATCTGTGGGTCTGACGAGGGTGTAAGCGAGGGAGGTAAGTGAAAAATGCACAAAGCACGTCCTAGTCTGGGGACAACGAGCAGATTTCTCACGAAACTCCCTGTGGGGACACTACTGGGTGCCTTGTAATAGGCTTCTATTTTCCTTTATCCTGACAACAGCGACAAGACACTACCAGCTGGGTGACCTTATATACACACCAGACAACTGCTTCTTGATAGAGGACAATGTTCCTCATTAGATGCCAGGCTGACTTTGGGCCACGTTGTACCGGAAATATTCATCAGCTCACGTTTGTTTTTAACTGCAAAGAAAGAGAACGGGGCTGTGCTGAGGAGGAGAGCCCAGGGAGAGCTGGGACTGGCCAAAATGGGCGGGGGGGAGGAATAGAAGGATTTGGAGATGGAGTCAACCAGAGGCAGATTTAGTCTTAAGCGTTGTTGTTGCGGCTGTTGTTTACCTGGGAGCCACAGCTGACCTCCTCTGGTGACAAGGGAGAAGGAGAATCCAATTCCATACCAGCCCAAGTCTGATTGCCAGGAGGCAGAGATCAGACATGCCTCCACCCTCCCTCCTGCTTCCCCCACTCTAATACCAACTGCTCCTCCCTCGGCACTCTAGCCCTCTGCTGGCTTCGAGAATCCCTGGCAATGGCCATCCAGAACTCACAGACAATACTTATGACTATGGGGAAAGTTAACCATTTATCACAGTGGTTCTCAACCTGTGGGTCGCCATCCCTTTGGGGGTCGAAAGACCCTTTCACAGGGGTCACCCAATTCGTAATAGTAGCAAAATCAGTTATGAAGTAGCAACGAAAATAATGTTATGGTTGGGGGTCACACCCATGAGGAACTGTATTAAAGGGTCGCGGCATGAGGACGGTTGAGAACCACTGGTTTACTGTCACAAGCCAGCATCAGAAAACACTGAGGATCGCAGTCTTTGGTCCACATTAGCACCTCTTCTGGGCCAGCAGTCAAGTCTCTCTGAGATCCTCAGCCTCTCGGTCACTCTTGGCTTTTGCAGGAAGCCCCCTGCAGGTCTGCCTCCCTCCAGTACGGTCTCAGCAGCATGGCTACTCTGCCCTGTCTCAGAGTGAGCCTTCTGCTGCCTCCACCATTACAGCAGGGATCATGCATGTGCTCCACGGGCACCTCTTCTCTCTAGGCAATCTCGCTGCTCCTGCTTCTGAGAGTGTTCTCAGAGGAATGGCAAAAGTGACCAGTTAGATGTGCCTCGTATGCGTAGCCTCAGCTCATCATTGGTGGAGGTTACAGAGAGGTGGGTAGAAGAGATGAGACGTACATAATTCATATCACTTGACCACAGGCCCATTGAGTCAATTTCAACTCATGGCAGTAGAACTGCCTCCACAGGGTTTCCACAGGGGCCTGATTGACTATGATCCAAGACTGTCATCTTCATACATATACATATACATATACTTACATATAGATGGGCAGACATAGCAACTACTGTGAGGATGAGGGAATTCTGAAGTTTGATTCTGTTCATAGGGTGGCACTATTTTTCCAAGTCTACAACATCAACAAGTCTTTACAAGAACAGCTTGCTGGGTCTTTCTCCCGTGGAGTCGTTAGGTGGGTCTGAACCACCTAGCTTTAGGCTCACACCTTTGTTCTTAACCATTGTGCCATCAGAGGTCCTTAAGGAGCTCTATTTTAAAAAAATCTCTTTTAAACCTCACTGCCATCAAGTCACTGCCAACTTATAGCAACCTAGATAAAAGGCGGGGCGCGGGGGGAATGAATCTTAGAGGTTACTAGGGGGAAATATCGACACTGTCATCCAGCTGAGTCTAACACAGAGCAACAGCACACAAGGTTTCTGAAACAACATATTTTTGCAAGCAGAGAGCATCCCAGGAGTGACTGTGGGGGGGTGAGTGGCCAACCTTGAGAGCTCGTTTGAAGTCCTGGTAAATAAAGTTTTGTTTTGGTTTTACATGGAAGGGCCAAGAAGTAGGGAGGAAAACTTCATAAAACCTGCCTGCCAGAAGATAAAAGAAGACCTGCCTCAGCCAGTTCCACAAGGCAGGTGTTACTTAGCTGAAGGAGAGCTTTGGCTAAAGGTTGGTGTATTGGTCTGGGTTTACAGAAACAAATCCAGAGACACTCATATATGTGTGAGAGAGCTTTATATCAAAGAGTAATCACATATTAAGAAAACATCCCAGCCCAGTCCAGATCAAGTCCATAAGTCTGATATTAGCCCATATGTCCAATACCAGTCAACACTGTAAATTCCTTTTCAGACTCATGCAACACATGCAATGACGCAGAATACAGGAAGATCACAGGCCAGTGGGTGGGGAGTCTTATGGATCCAGTGGCGGTGGAAGCATCTTAGCCCTGGTGTGTGTCTCCACGTGGCTCCTCCAGCTCCAAGGCTCTGGCTGCCATTAGCATAGCTCCATCTGGCTTGTCAACAGGAATGTGTAGCAGAGAAAGTGTGTGTCCCGCCTCCAGGGAGAAAGACAGGAGTTCCCAGAATCCCCAGGAGAAGGACAGGCCCACACAGAGGCACCATTGGCTATGACCTGATTGACAGGCCAGACTCCACCCCTTTGCTCAAGTTGACAGGAGATGCTATAACTGCCACTGTTGGTAAACATTCAGCCTCATCCTACATCAACAGTTCCTATTCTCCGACCTTCAGCGCTCAGTCCAGCGCTGTTCAACAAATGTGTTTGCTGTTGTTGCTGCTGCTGTTGTTGTACACCACTGAGTCAATTCCAACTCATAGCAAGCCCATGAAACAGAGTAGCGCTGTCCCACTGGATTTCCCACACTGTAAACTTTCCAAAAGCCAATGGCCAGGAGGTGAGGATAAGAGAAGACTGATACTGACATGTGGGGCCGGAAACCCCCAACACATCCAGCTAAAAACAGAGGAGCTAGCTCAGTCTGCATAGTATGAAAAGTCACCCAGGAAGACCCTGATAAACCACAGTATGCAGAGGTGCATGTTACGTAATCACGTTACTCTAGACAAAGCTGGAATGTTTGGTGAGAGGCTGTGCGAGGGGATGCAAGGCTGTAATTATTTGAGCCGTTGGTTCTGCAGCTTTCGAGTGGTGTCACGTGTGTTCCTCCAGTCTCCTCTGCTAGGGGGTTTGCTCTACAGCATGTACGTGTTTCTCATAAGAAACTTTGTCATAAAATGACTGGGGAGCTTTTGGCTGCTGTTTAAAAGCTGGTGGCTGAAACTATGTGTATCACATTGTTAGCCGTTGAACTTGTGTGTGTGTGTAAACATATACACAGACTAAAGCCCTAGCAAGCAAGAGAGTCCTTGGTGAGGGCTCCTGAGCAGTATGTGTGTGTGTGTATAAACATATACACAGTGTGTGTGTGTGTATAAACATATACACAGTGTGTGTGTGTGTGTGTGTGTGTGTAAACATATACACAGACTATCACTCTAAAGTCCTAGCAAGCACGAGAGTCCTTGGTGAGGGCTCCTGAGGGTGTGTGTGTGTGTGTGTAAACATATACACAGTGTGTGTGTGTGTGTGTGTGTGTGTGTGTGTGTGTGTGTAAACATATACACAGACTAAAGC